CACGCTTAGCCGCTCAGTCATGTTGAGTTCTTTGTGACTCCATGGACTGTAGTTCCACCAGGCTCCTCTGTCCACAGAATTCTCCAGGCTAGAACCTAGAATGGGCAGCCATTCCCTTCTCCAGGGGATCTTCCCGACCCAGGGATCAAAACTCCACCTCCCCAGTCTCCTGCATTGCAGGAAGATTCTTTACCATCTGAGCCCCAAGGGAGCTCTGCAGTTTTCCAATAAAATAAGGAAGTTATTATTTGAAGACAATCCCAGAGCAGATAAACTCATTTCAAAAATAACTTTCAAAATTATTTTCAACACTGCTTCTTCTTATTAGCTTTGATAAAGATACAGTAACTGTATGACATCTCACCAAAGGGAAGGTAAATTTAATTTTGATGTGAACCAGCTTATAAGTAAAATGCTTATATACTATTAGTGAACCTGCAGACATATATTCTCCCTATATGTATTTAGCAATCCTATCACTATGGTTTCCCTCAGCGTATTCCTCAGAATTTGTCACCTGCATGGAGAGTTGCTGTTGTTTAGCCCCTAAGTCATGTCCAACTCGTTATGACCCCATGGACTGTAAACCACCAGGCTCCTCTGTCCATGGGATTTTTAAGGCAAGAATACTGGAGTGGGTTGCCATTTCCTTCTCCAGGGGACCTTCCTGACCCAGAAATCAAACCCATGTTTCTTGCACTGCAGACAGATTCTTTACCACTGAGCCACCAGGGAAGACCAGGTGGAGAGTAAAGACAGGTAACTAACTCTCAGTTAAACTACTCAGATGCAAACTTACCCAACACCAACAGTCCAACTCAGCCAATTACCCTTCAAGATTACTTCTGCTCTAATCTAAGCCCTTTCCCCCCTTTAAAAGTAGGATAGCTGGATAACTCAGATGAAAAATTCATTAAGTTGAGCAAGGCAAATGATTTCTATTTTCCCTGTCACTCTCTAACATCTACACTGAGGCTAAGAAAAGTAGTTTGCATGGTCTGTATCTACTCAGTCCATATCCATGAATTTTCAATATGACTAACAGGCAATTCACAACACCATGATTATTTTTAAGTACATGAAGAAAATCAACTTAATGAAAAACTGAGTAACGGTTTGTTTCTTTATTATAGCATGGTATTTATGATATCTTTTGAAACCATATTTAACTAAATATTTTATTCACATAATTAGATTATATAGTAGATGTGAAGAAAAGGATCTGTATGTCTTAAGTTCTACAAAATTCCTAAAAGTATGTCATGAGGCCAAAAATGACCAACAAATTGCTAGTAATTTCATAATTTTTATTATAACAATTTATCAAAAGAGGACTAGGGGTTGGTCACTCTCAAACAGTAAAATTCTGTACCAATGAAAGAAAAAAAAAAATTACTCTGGAAACTTTTGGTGACTCTGTGTAACTCTTAGCCCTGCTGGTCAGCATTACTTCAGAGTAAAGGGATGACCCGTGTATTTATCATCTAAAGTACCACCAAAAGAATGCCTACCTGAGATCTAGAACAAAATAGTCAAAATCAAGTACTGGCATAACAAAAATGCTTTTGAACTACAACTTATTTTTTGTTTTAATCTCAAACATGTAAAATAGGCTCAATTCAGTGAAATTCTAAAAATAAGGGAAAATTTTAAATATTATGTGATATAACTTAAAAAATAATTGAAGTTAATGTAAAAAAAAAAGGTATTAAAAAAAAGTAAGCTCCTGTGTGACTGCTTCCCTGGTGGCTCAGTGTTAAAGAACGTGCTGCCCGTGCAGGAGACACGGATTCGACTCCTGCGTGGGGAAGATCCCGTGGAAAAGGAAATGGCAACCCATCCAAGTATTCTTGCCTGGGAAATCCCATGGATGGAAGAGCCTGGCAGACTACTTGTCCATAGGGTCTCAAAGAGTCAGACACAACTTAGAGACTAAATAACAACAATAAACAGAAGACAAGCTGCTATAACATCAACTGAAGAACCTGATGAGGATGAACTCCAAAACGACCAGGAGAAAAAATCCACCACTGTCACCATGAAGCACATTTGCTAAACCACATGTTCTTGAGACTAGTGAGATCTGGGCTACAGCAAATCAAAAAGAATTAAATGTTATAAAATTGGAGCTAAACAAATTTTATCACTAAAACCTAACAGTTTAATGAATGAAGTCATCAAAATATTCACTTAATAGAAAACAATGTTCAATGATTTTCTCATGGTTCCATTGGGAGAAGGGGGTTGCAAATAGTAATAGACCTTACAGAGACCTGGTTTCCTCATCCAAGTTGAACAAGGAGGCCTGCAGAACTCACTGTATTTTCAACAGAATATCTGCAAATCAATTGTTAACATTTTAATTCTAGAATAATGAAACTTCTACAAGGGTCTCCCAATGACATTCAGAACAGCCACACTCACTCTAACTTGATATATGTATCTAACTCAAGTTCCAAGGTGAGCAGAGTAACGACTAAAAATAAGTAAATAAATAAAGGAGGGCATCATTTGCTCTAAGTGTCCCTTAAAGCAGACTGTTATTTGATTATGTATTTATCTAGGAAATTTGTGTAGCCACAAAGTGACTTCATTAATAGCGAGTAAACAATTGGACATATAACTGCTTGTATATACCTAATGAACATTACAAATGATATCTAATATTTGTTGTACCCTTACCCTGTATTTTTAATCCTCACCAATACCCATGAGGGGGTATATTTACTAACCTCACTTTACATGTGAGGAAACTTAGGTACACAATGGTTAACATAATTTGCCAGGGATCACGATGTTATTATACAAATCCAGTCTTTACTACAACTATGATCAAAATCATGTTTTTATAATCATGCAATTCTACTACTGTTCTTTTTAAAGGTACTATAACCCATTTTAACAAAACTCCCACACTTATTTAAAATAATAATTTTTGTATAATTTATTTTGAAAATATCTGAGCCTATTGAACTGAAAATTTTTTAGGCAATTAAGTTTTAGCACAAAAATTATAGGACACTAGTTCAGCTAATATTTCAATCTAGATGACAATGAGAGGGAAATATCAGCACTTGCACTAACAATGCTGCATACTGTTGTAAAATTTTCAATAAAAGCTCATCTTATTGTATATCATTTCATGTATAATAGTAGTCAGCCCAAGTTTCGCCATCCTTAGAAGGGAACAACATCACCCATGATCCTAAAACCACTTATTGTGAGCACTAGAATGCTTTAGAAATAAACAACGTGAACATGATAAAGTAGAAAAACCCTGCACTAGAGTCCAGAGACCTGCCCACCAATCCTGGCTCATCACTAGCTAGCATTTTAGACCCTTCCACTGGTCTGGGTCTCAGTTTCCTGATCTGCAAAATAATTATATCCAAATTGTACTCTTCCAGCTCTAAAAGAAATTTGACTCATACACAAAAATCTTTTTTCCAAGCTTCCTATTCTCATTCTCTTTAGTTATTACCATTACTTTGCAGGTATTAAGCATTATTTTTCCTTATTTTTACAATGGGAGAATAGCCCATTCTAAACAAAGCTAAGAGGAGGAAAGCCTTTCTGACCACTGGTTTGCCATAAATGAGTCGGAAGGTGAATAATGTAGAAGCTATTATAATGTTAAAAGGTGTTAGGTTTCAATATTTTAGGCTACTGTTTTGTGTGCCAGTACATTCTCCCTAAGGACAAATAGTAAAATTCAAGGACAATAGAGAAAAAAAATTTTAATTTTCTATTATTTATTCAATAACTAAGAAGGTGCCAACTGAATATACTAACAACCTTTTGCAGAAATGTTTTCTCTGACGGATGAATTACATTTTACATCAAAGTGAAAATACGATCTACAAAATTTTCTCTTCTGCTTAAATACGCCCTTAAAAAAAAAAGCTTTTATTTTATAAATTGTGATGAATCAGTAAGATATATGATTGTGAAGAGATTAAAAATCTAGCTGTGAAATTCTTAGCTTCCTCTTCTAAGCGACAGGAAGAACCTCCGTGGGCTGCCACAGAAGTGGATTCTGTGGACTAACCCTGGTATGCATTTTCTATGCTCTTAACTCATTCTCAAGAGTGTTATGCAAAATACAAGATTATTAAAGTTAAACTAAGCTTCAGGCATTAAAATTCCCAACTGTTAGAAAAATCAACCTGATTTTCGTATTGCTTTCTAAAGCTGCTAGCCTACCAAACATCTTCCCAGCTCAGAGTTAAATTATTTTAAACTTCTATAAAATCTGTGGTTCAATTTTATATGACCTTGTAAAGAAACAATTAAAAAAAAACAAGGGAAAGAAAGCCCGTGAATTACTTATTAATCTTATAGAATAAAAATCATTAGCAAACTGTAATAATAGCACACACCAGTCTAAATGTTAAATTGGAAGGAAGTAAACTACTGCTATGGATGGAGAGACCTGAAGGTGAGATCTTCAGCAGATGGAGAAGCTGCTACAAGAGGAGCAGTTTGTGAATTTCAAGGTGCTATTTGAGAATTTCCAGCAAAAATAATAACCGGTAAAACACCATCGAACGCATACATACATTTTAGAAGGAAGCTGCCAAGGTCCATCTTTTGGTTGGAATGCCGAAAGAAAATGTCAAAAATCACCTCGTGACTGCAATCCTCCAGCCTCTCAAAGTTGAGAACCATGCCAAGATGAGCGCTTAAACTGTTTCTGAGCATCCTTCTTTAAATACAACGCCCTCTCCAGAAAGTCACTTCGCCTCAGCTACTTGAATCCCCAAATCCCAGTACCAAAGAATTTTAGGACCCCAAGTAGTTGCAGGTCTTCCAGCGCTCGCCTGAGCATCCCTTTCCACCTCGGGTTAAACTCCGGAGGTGCTCCAGCCACTTCCCCCAAGTTTCCCCGTTTCCTCTCTCATCTCCCGGCGGACCTTCTCGTCGACCTTGAGGACCCCCCCGGATTGGAGCCTCAGAGCCCAGTATTTTGACGGGTGCCCTCTTCCAGGCAGCGCGCGCAAATGCCCCAGTCTCTGGTGTCCCCCGAGATTGGCCACGACCCTGATCATGAACGCCCTCCGACTAGCCTGGAGAGATCCCTCTCCCCTTGGGCGCCCCACATTCCTCCAACCAGAAAAATATTTCAACGAAATGCATCGAAAGCCTACCAAGCGCAAGCTCCCACTATGCGCCGCACGGTCTGCACCGGGCTCGCGGCCCGGGTCCGCCGTCCCCCGGCCGTCGTTTTCTTCCCGGCCGGAGGGCCGGCGCTGCCTCCGCCCGGGATGTGGAGGCGCCGGCCGGAGACGGACTGCGCCCGGCGCGAGCACCTGGGGCCGAAGAGGCGGCATCTAACGGCGACGCGGGGGCCGGGGAGCGCTCACCAACCAGGTCGGCCGCGGGGACACTCACCGGTCGGGGCGCGCGGGGCGGCCTCATCCAGGGGCACCTGCGGCCAGGCAGGACGGGCCCGGACGGCGCAGTCACCGAGAGCGAGTCCGCCGGCCAGCTCGCCGGTCCCGTCCGGCTCTCAGCGACTGCCGGAGTAAGCGCAGTCTCGCTTCCTCCGGACGGAGCCCGGGGACCCCAGCTCAGCCGGATGCCCCCTCCAGGCCCCCACCCCTTTCCCGGGCCGCCTCCCCCTCTTCACCCTTTACCCCTCCCCCCACCCCCCAACCCCCACCGGAATGGAAAATACCTCCCGGGGCGGGGGGCGGCGGCGGCACGCCTCTCTGAAGGGCAGCCTACCGTGACCAATAGCAGGCGGGGCTCTGGAGGGGCGGGATTCCTAGCGGCCAATCCGAAGGCGTGTAGGTGAAGGCCGAAGGAGGGAGGCCGGGAGCGAGAGTTGGGCGGCCCGGGAGTCAGGGAGGTCCGGCCGCTCGGGTACGCTCCGTGCGCGGCTGCCATTTTGGAGTCGGGCCGCTGCGACGGCGGCCGGGTCCGGCCCGGGGAAAGGGAGGAGCCAGTCAGATGGGCGATATAAAGTCACGTGGGCTTGAGGGGCGGAGTAAAGCGGGCCCAAGGGGAGGGGTCGGCGGCGGCGAGTCACTGGGTCTGAGCAGGGTCACGTGGTCCAAGAAGGGGCAGCGGTGGGCTTGAGGGCGGAAGGTAAGCCTTGAAGTGGTAGGAACGCTTTGTCCCTGGTTTCAACTCTGATAGGGAAAAGGAAAGGAAAAATGTTGAATGGAGGCGTGAGTTCCTTGTCGAAAAATGTGAATGAGTCTCCCTAGTCCCTCCAGCAAGGAGCCTGTTACTAAATTCCAAGATTCACCGGAACCTAGGCACTTAGGTTAATTCAAGTATTCCCATCCCTATTGCCAGCTGTCACAAACATGACTCAGATCGGATGGAGGGGTGTCTCCCACACTTTTTCCTTGCAGTTTGGATGCAAGGGCCCCCGCCCTAGAAATGGCTAAAAGGATAAAAACATAGTTGAGGCAATTTGACTCCACCAGGACAGGCCATCTGAACTTATAGAAGCCTTGTCGTTCACAAACTTACCGGCCACTTTTGTGTTAGACATACCCATGGTCGTATCACAACACCTCGAAACAAAACAAACTCGACTATGAGACCCTGTCTAGCTCTCAGTCGTATTTCAATTCGTGCTTCCAGTACAGACTAAATTATGTTCCTTACTAATCCATTGAAAGTGCCCCTCTCAAGGCCGCCAGTGACATCTATATGATCGAGTTCAAGGGTCATTTGTATAAGGTGATCTCTTTTGCGGTAGTTTCTAAGGTCTTGCCTCACTCCAGTTTCCCTGAGACCATAAACTCTCAGATTGTATTTCTTTTCAGTTAACCTTGCTAATTAAATCGTGTGGGCTTTTAAAGAGAATCCCAGGATCTAATCCTTAGTCCTCTCCTCAGTAGGTACAGAGTCATTCTGCTGCACACTAAGGTGGTCTAACCATTCTGATGACTGTACCTTTAATGAGGTTCCAATCTGCCTGTTTTAGTGCTTTTGGATATTTCCACTTACATCTAATCTTGACACATCCCAATCGGAACTGAAATACCCTAAGAAGTCCACAAAACCTGTTCCTCTCCGTCTGTTATCTTATTTGATAACATCACCATTCATTCACTTAACCAAACCAGAACCTGGGAGCAATCCTCCAGGCTACTCCCTCCTTGCTGTAACACTTCTGTACCTCTTTGAGCTTTGTCCTGTTGATTATCTTTTCTAATTGCTCTTTCCTCTCAATTTCAACAGCCATTGCCTCACCAGGCCGTTTATTCTTTAGCCCAGTATTTACTAAGCATTTTACAATGTGCCAGGCACTGTTTGAGGTGCTTAGGATATAGTGGTGAACAAAACTGACCAAGTTCCTGAATAGGGCGAAATAAAGCATATATGAGTAAAGTAGCAAATTAATAATTCAGGGGGTGATATATACTATAAAGATCTCCCACCAAGAAACAGAGAAACATGCAAGAACCTCCTGAAGTTGTTGCCCAGCTCTTCACCTCAGTCTCCCCCTCCATCCTGCTCCCCCAGCCTTCCCACCCTGCTTAGTATCTTCTCATCCTTCCTTCTTGTTCTCCAAGAAAAGATTGCCCTGATTGTTTTCATCCGGAGCGGTTTTTCGTCCTTTCATCTGTGAGGACTTCCCTCTTTTTGTCAGGGCTGCCTCAGTACCAATACCCCAGCTAGGAGAGAAGCTACTTTGAGGGCAGGGGTCACACCTTATACATCTTTGGGCCTTCACAGTGTTTTGGCTCAGAGTAGGTACTCACAAAATGCATATTGAAACAAACTGGCGACATCTCCTGACCCGTGAAGCAGGCTCCACAAAAGCATCTTGAGCCCAATCAGAATGGAAGGTCAGTAAGCTCATCTATTAGAGTGAAAGAGGCTGTGATGCCTCCTGGCAGGGGCAGAGTAATAAATGAATGAGATTACCTCTGTTGGTTGCTTCCAGGCCTGGGATTCCATGATGCTGTATCCCATGTGGGGCAGGAGTTGCATCATAAACACTACTTTACTTGACAGTGCCAAGTACACGTGGGCAATTTAAAAGTACTCTTTGTTTCTGATGAGGAGCTTCAAACCCAGAGCACTCTGGGTAAATTGCCAGGAGGGGCTCTGCAGGAGAAGGGTTGCAGTTGCCACTTGACTCTATTTCCAGGCCCTTGGGTGTTGCACCCCAACAGGGAGTGAGATGTTGCCAGTTCCGTCATAGTCATTGTAATTAAACCCAAGTTCTGGCAAAGGGCAGTGCGTAATTATGAAGTACTATTATGGTTTTTATCATTATTAGGCACCCAGCTGCCCAGCCCAGAAAACCACAGTAGTAAAACACGGAGAAGCCAAGCTCCTCTCCCAGCTGGCATGAATCAATACCAGGTGTATTGGCACACAGTCCTGCAGCTCTGCTCATCAGGATGAAACCTTCTGTCCCCTCTTCTTGGCAAGATAAAATTTTAAATGAATGAAAAGAGGAAATGTAAAGAAAGACCTTTGCCACCTCCTCTAAATGGAGTTCCATTTTTTCCATGTCCCCAGAATGATCTCTTCTCATCTACATATTTATTGTGTAAATCTTTTTCAACTTTATCCTTGACCTGCCAGCTTTCTCCGCATCATTCGCCCATGTCTCTGGAGGATATATTAGTTAGAGTGGGAGTGCAGAATGCAGAAAAGAGTGCTTTTACTTTCAAGAAACTTATAATACAGACTAAATAATTCAGAAAGTATAGTCAGGCTTGACAAGGCATCTGCCTTTTATTGAGCGCCTACTCAATGCCATCTTTGGCATTTTCACATATGCTAACTGACTTGATCCACACCACCCTGCAAGGTGCCTCTTATAATCCTTATTTCCTTCAAGGTCTCAAAGACTTAGTGACAGAACTGCGATTCCAACATAAATGTACAAATTTGGTGACTGTATATTCATGCTAGATGTGTTCACATTGGGTGGTGAATACAGGTATCAGACTCCTCCTCCTCCTGTCAAATTAAACATGGTTTTTTGAACAAAGTAGATTTTAAGCTGAACATTGAAAGAACAATTCAGAAGTGATGCTGAGGGAATGGTGCCAAACAAGGAGGCCAAATTGGCCATAAGCCTGAAATCAATCAATATGGAAAGATTTCTTGTTCAGCGGTGAGTCATATTGTATTCTTCAAGTACCTTTATTATCTCAGCTCTTCCAAATGGGGAAGTCAACCCAGGTGGTACAAGGGTGGGCTGAGGATGAAAGAGGGTGGTTTAGGGAGGGAATAAGTTTTTGAATGGAGGACTCCCAAAAGGCCCATAAACTGGCACCTCAGGCACTGGCTTCTGGAACCAATGAAACCATGGCAGCTTTCCTTGCTGCCTATCAGTTGTTTTTAACTGATGTGTGTAGAACAGTTTCTTATTCCCTTATTTCTTATAAAACAATTAACAGTTTTAAAAAACAATTTAGCAGTATGTTATATAAGGCAGTTCACTTTTAGCAGTTTTTTTTTTTAAGGAATTCGAGATTATATAAAATGAAGCCATTTAAAGTGCACCATGTGATTTGTTTTGAGACATGTATACCCTTGTAATCACTGTTATAATCATGAAATAGAACGTTTACTTCATCCCCAAAAGTTCCCTTGTGCCCCTTTCGCAGCAGAAATTTTAATACAACTTATATTTTGAATACTCCAAAATCTAGTCTCTAACTTCAACCTTGCTTTCAAATTCTAGACCCATATTTATAGCCATCTACTTGACAGAGCTGGGCTTCCAAGGTGACACTAGTGGTAAAAGAAACTACCTGCCAATGCAGGAGCCAGACGTGGTTTCGATCCCTGGATTGGGAAAATACCCTAGAGGAGAGCATGACAACCCACTCCAATATTCTTTCCTGGAGAATCCCATAGACAGAGGAGGCCAGCAGGCTCCTCAAACCATATAGGACTAAAAGCTTTATCTTAGCTACAAGAAAACCACCATCTCCTCCAGTTCCCTTTTCAAATCATTTTTCTGCATTCTTCAATTCTGCTGAAGAAGTCGTCATCCACTGAGTCATATAAGCAAGAAAATTAAAAAAGTAATAATCTTCACTCTTCCCTCTCTTCAACCTCCCAAAAAAGTGATTCTATTTCACACAGATATTTTGTAATCAGTCCTTTCCATTTCTAATATCATCATTCAGATACTTCTTGCTCACATGATCACTATTAAAAAAAAGCCCTCCTAACTAGATTCTTCATGATCGAATTCATCCACCAATCTGCCACTCTAATTCTCTTTTGAAAACCCAGAGCTGACTGTTGCAAACCTCTGCATTCAGAGACTGCCCAACTGCATACAAAGTAGCACTGAAAATCTTTCACAGTATGGCCCCCACCTCCCCTTCTGGATTCCTCTGCTCCCTGCCACATAAAGCGTGCTATACATTTTCATCTTTCTGTGCTTTGTATCAGATTTCTGTCTGAACTGTGCTTCTTGCTCCACCTGGAAACTCCACCTTTCATAGCCCCACTTATATGACTTTCCTCAATAAAGCCTTCCTAGACCTCTCCAGATAAAAATAGTCATTCCATCTGTTACACTTGACCTCCCATAGCATGCTGCACATATATTTATCACACTGAACAGACATAGTGATGAATTAGAACAGGAGATCACTGTGGATGGTGACTGCAGCCATGAAATTAAAAGATGCTTGCTCCTTCAAAGGAAAACTATGACAAACCTAGACATATTAAAAAGCAGAGACATCACTTTGCCAACAAAGGTCCATACAGTCAAAGCTGTGGTTTTTCTTGTATTTGTATACGGATGTGAGAGTTGGACCATAAAGAAAGCTAAGTGCCAAAGAATGAATGCTTTTGAATTGTAGTGCTGGAGAAGACTCTTGAGAGTCTCTTGGACTGCAGGGAGATCAAACCAGTCAATCCTAAAGGAAATCAACCCTCAATATTCATTGGAAGGATTGATGTTGAAACTGAAGCTCCAATATTTTGGCCTCCTGATGTGAATAGTTGATTCATTGGAAAAGACTCTGATGCTAGGAGAGATTGAAGGTAAAAGGAGAAGTGGGCAGCAGAGGATGAGATGGTTGGATGGCATCACCCACTCAATGAACATGAATTTATTTGAGCAAACTCTGGGAGATAGTGGAGGACAGAGGAGTCTGGCATGCTGCAGTCCATGGGGTCACAAAGAGCTGGACATGACTTAGCAAGTGAACACTGAACAACAGCAAAAGAACAGGAGAGCTGAGTCAGAAGATCTGGGTCTACCTTAAAAATCTCATTCACCACTTGCTGCACCATCTAGGGCAAGTCACATAACCTCTCTGAAATTTGGTTATTTAACTACAAAACTGAGATAACACTTTTAACAATACCCCTCAAAAGACTGTTCTGGTGATTAAGTGAACTAAGTATAATTATAAATGTGAATGTATCTTGCACTATACAGATTATTAGAGACTATAATGACAAAGCTATATCTTCTGCTGGGCTTCCCTGGTAGCTCAGATGTTAAAGAATCTGCCTGCAATGTGGGAGACCTGGGTTCAGTCCCTGGGTTGGGAAGATCCCCTGGAGGAGGGCATGGCAACCCACTCCAGTATTCTTGCCTGGAGAATCCCCACAGACAGAGGAGCCTGGTGGACTACAGTCCATGGGGTAGCAAAGAGTTGGACACTGCTAAGCAACTAAGATATTTAAAATATCTTCTGCTAGATTTTGAGCTCCTTGAGTGCAAAATCAACATCTGGCCATCTTTATATTCCTTCTACTTAACTTACTGCTCGAGCTGCCTGTCGCCTAGATTGGTTTATGACATAAGTTACTATTTCTTGTATTAATAGAACCATATTCTCTTCATTTATTCTCTTAGCCTACTTTATACAATATAAAAGCAAATCGTGACACTTAATTTTTTTGTTGTTGTTGTGTCCATCTCTTTGAGACCTTATGGACTGTAGCCTGTCAGGTTCCTCTGTCCATGGAACTTTCCAGGCAAGAATACTGGAGTGGGTGGCCACTTTCTACTCCAGGGGATCTTCCTGACCCGTGAATCAAACCCATGTCACCTGCATTGACAGGCAGATTTTTTACCACCAGCAACACCTGGGAAGCCCTTGATAATTGTTTATTGCCTTTGTAATTAAATAGTTTCATCAAAAGGTCTCTATCACTGATTAATTTTGAAAGTCTTTATTTTTATTCAACAAAAACTTTTCAGAGCCACTGAGTGATATTTAATCTATATAGTTAAAGGTTCTACAGAAAGAGCATGGGGAGTTGGTACTGACGTAACTGGAGTGGTCATAAAAAGCCTTTCTGAGAAAGTGGCCTTTGAGCATCAATAATGAGAAGGAACTGCTGCTTCTGCTCCTGCTGTCGCGTCAGTCGTATCCGACTCTGTGTGACCCCATAGATGGCAGCCCACCAGGCTCCGCCGTCCCTGGGATTCTCCAGGCAAGAACACTGGAGTGGGTTGCCATTTCCTTCTCCAGTGCATGAAAGTGAAAAGTGAAAGTGAAGTTGCTCAGTCATGTCCGACTCTTCGCAACCCAATGGACTGCAGCCTACCAGGCTCCTCCGTCCATGGGATTTTCCAGGCAAGAGTACTGGAGTGGGGTGCCATTGCCTTCTCCGAATGAGAAGGAGACAATCCTACAAAAAGGAGGAGGAATAGCCTTCCAGGCAGACCGAAGAGCACAGACAGATACCCTGAGACAGGGGAAGGCAAAGTCTCTGTGAGGAGCTGAAGGTAAGCTGATACGGTGTGGAGGGAGGGAGGGGGAGTGGTAGGAGGTGAAGTCAAAGAAGCAGACAGAGCTTGGACTAGCAGAATAGAGAGTTTAAATCATGTCCTAATCATAATAGAAACCACTGGAGGATTTTAAGCAGGAGTACGGTATGGATCTGATTGGTTTTTTTAAAAATAGCCCTAACTACATATGAAGACTGTGTTCTGGGGGAGGTGGGAGTGAGGATTCAAAGGCAGACTAGTGATTTCTGTCCAGAACAGAGATGCTGATCTTGATTAGGGTGGTAGTGCTGAAGATGGTGAAGGGTAGTAGTTTGGGGGTATGTTTGGCAGATAGAACTGATGAGTCTAACTGATGGATTTAATGATGGATTTAATGACAGCAAGTGAGGAAGAGATGCTAAAAGATGACTCTTAGGATTAGGAGCTAAGCAGGCAGAGAGAAGTTCAGCTTACTGAATTTACACAGTGCCTATGGAGGTGCTGCACTAGGCTCTGAGACTACAAAGCCCATTTAGTAAGACACGTACTTGTCCTCAAAAACCCAGGCTAGTGGGGAGGGCTTCCTCTACCAGTTAATAGAATTACCCTGGTAATTTCTGTTGGTAACTTTTCTGTTGGTGGCATCTTCCGGGATCTTGGTTTTTTTTTTTTTTTTTCTTGAGAGAAGAGAAAAAGAAGGATATGGAAAAAGAACCACAGGTTAAGATACAGAAGCAAGGTGCTCTGCTAACAGGAATGGGAATCACTGTGGTCTAAGCTTCTGCTGTTTCCACCTACTCATACCTGACCAACAGATTACCTATGGTTGAGGATGAATTCAGATTTCTTTTTCTTTTTATTGTAAGTATAACTTTCATGAAATTACTGTATGACTCCTGAATGATGTCTCTCAAGCTTTTTTCTTTCTGGTATTTATTTAATTTTTAATATTTGACCAGTTGACATGTTCAGATGTTTCAGAAATCAAAACAGGACTTCCCTGGTGGACCAGTGGTTGACAATCCGCCTGCCGATGCAGGGGACATAGGTTTGATCCCTGTCTAGGAAGATTCCCACATGCCATGGAGCGACTAAGCCTGTGCACCACAACTGCCGAGCCCACACTCTAGAGCCTGTGCTCTGCAACAAGAGAAGCCACAGCAATGAGAAGCCTGGGCACCGCAACTGGAGAGTAGCCCCTAGAAGGTCCGTGCACAGCAACAAAGACCCATGCAGACAAAAATAAATACATAAATAAATAAACGTAAAAAACAAAGATTTCTATCAGAAATTTTTAAAAAGATCAAAACAAAATTAAAAGGTATATGGTGAAAATTCTCCCTCCCACCCTGCTTTTTCCACCCCTTCTTCATGCCCACCCACCCTCACAGGTAGAGATAGTTACGTATATTGGATTTTCCATGTGTCCTGATATTCATGCACATGTAAGCAGTTCTTCTTTTCTTCCCTGCTTACGCAAAAGGTGGCGTATTGTATCTCCTGAACTGTATATTGCTTTTCCTGTTGACAGTGTCTCTTCAAGCTCTATCATATCAGTACTGAGAGAGCTTCCTTATTCTTTTAAACAGCTGCACAGCATGACACTACAGTTTATTTAACCATTCCCCTATCAATGAACACTTGAGCTGTTTACAGTCTTTGCTATTTATTATAAACAATGCTGAGATGAATCACCCAGCACATATATCTGCTGGTATATCTTTAGGATAAATCCCCAGAAGTCTCCCAAACACTTTAATGAAATCTTCCAAAGGAATATTCTAAGGTGGCATGACTAGGTTTCCAAAGTAGAATGTCAACTTTCAAAGGATTAGCTCTCATGTTCCATTAAAAATAATTCCTCATTCTTTGGTCTGCAAATTATAGCTTTTATCATGTCCTAATAATTAAAAAAAAAAAAACTTCTGCAATGAGCATTTACTGGTATTTTATCATGTTTAACTATTTTTTTAAATGATCTATTTATTTATTTTTGGCTGTGCTGTGTCTTTGTTGCTGCAAGCCTGCTTTCTCTAGTTGCAGTGTGTAGTCTTCTCTTATTGCTCAGCCCGGGCTCCAGGGCACTTGGGTTTCAGTAGTTATGGTGCATGGGCTCCGTTGCCCTGTGGCATGTGAAATCTTCCTGGATCAGAGATCTAACCCATGTCCCCTGTATTGGCAGGCAGATTCTCAACCACTAGACCACCAGGGAAGTCCAGAAAATGTTAAAATATTTAATCTGCTTCTCCTATAACCAGTAATGGCTGGCGTACTTTTAAAAAGAAGAAAAGAAAGAATAATATTCAGCTTGATTCTGTGCCAGTTAATAAATTGCAAGCTCTAGAAAATACATGAGTTTTCTTAATTCAACATATAGAAACATCTTTTGAATGAAGACTATGATGGGATTAATGGGCTTGAGTTGAGAGCTTGTAAGGTGTAGACTGCCCCAAAAAGCTCTAGTGCTACCCTAGCCCCAGGTTCAAATATCCTTAAGCCATTTTTTTTTTTTTATTAGCATCCCTTTGCGTTTGTCTCTGTAATTCTTCAATTTCCCATAGTTGCTTTTGGAAAATAGGTCTAAGGGCCTGGTAAAATGGATAGACTTTGGTAAATGTGCTTTATAACTGAGCCTTGTAAACTGAGCATCCTCTCTTTATGTTAGGCACCTCCCTCCATACTTTTTTTATTATTAGATTCCAGATACATGAGAGCAGGATGGAAAAATCCTAGGGTACTTAATTTGCATGAAATATTTAGACCTATTTAGGGCATCATCAACTCAATGGACATGAGTTTGGGCTAACTCCAGGAGATAGTGAAGGACGGGGAAGCCTGGCATGCTGCAGTCCATGTGGTTGCAGAGAGTCGGACACACTTCGTGACTGAACAACAAAATTTAGGAGAACATACAGATGTAGAAATATGTACGAGTAACATGGCAGTGAAAGCTGCCATTTACAAAATATATGTAAATATCGTAAGAAGCTAGCCTAGCCATATTACTATCACTATTAGAAAATAACATTTTCTTTCCACATAGGACTTCTCTTTGGTTCCATTTCATGTATGGGGAGGTTTGTTTGTTTATTTCAATTATAGAAAGAAAGTATTTAAAAACAAACTATGAGTTGACAATTTCAACAAATAGCCACCTATAAAAGTTTCCTTAGCTCTAAAGTTCTCTTCCTCAGAAACTGCAAAATCTACAAATCATGAAGCTAGAACTGCCCAGTATCTTTTTTTTTTTTTCATTTATTTTTATTAGTTGGAGGCTAATTACTTTACATCATTGCAGTGGTTTTTGTCATACATTGAAATGAATTAGCCATGGATTTACATGTATTCCCCATCCCGGTCCCCCCTCCCACCTCCCTCTCCACCCGATCCCTCTGGGTCTTCCCAGTGCACCAGGCCCGAGCACTTGTCTCATGCACCCAACCTGGGCTGGTGATCTGTTTCACCCTAGATAATATACGTGTTTCGATGCTGTTCTCTTGAAACATCCCACCCTCGCCTTCTCCCAGAGTCCACAAGTCTGTTCTATACATCGGAGTCTCTTTTTCTGTTTTGCATATAGGGTTATCGTTACCATCTTTCTAAATTCCATATATATGTGTTAGTATACAGTAATGGTCTTTATCTTTCTGGCTTACTTCACTCTGTATAATGGGCTCCAGTTTCATCCATCTCATTAGAACTGATTCAAATGAACTCTTTTTAATGGCTGAGTAATATTCCATGGTGTATATGTACCACAGCTTCCTCATCCATTCGTCTGCTGATGGGCATCTAGGTTGCTTCCATGTCCTGGCTATTATAAACAGTGCTGCGATGAACATTTGGGTGTACGTGTCTCTTTCAGATCTGGTTTCCTCGGTGTGTATGCCCAGAAGTGGGATTGCTGGGTCATATGGCAGTAGAACTGCCCAGTATCTTTGAAGAGTATCTACTCATAGCTCTAATTGAAACTACCTTCAATTTTTAAAATGTCTCACATGAGGATTCTATAGTCTCTGGGAGACTATAGAGTCTCCCAGTCTCTCATTATCTTTTTCTTTTTTTAAAATGGAATCCACTTCTTTTTTGGTTTTAAATTAATTAAAT